AAATTGTAACCACTTACTGGCAGTGGTCGTGAAGTCTGTGAGAGAGCGAACCTGATTAAAGAGGAACTCTGCCAGTTTTACACATCAAAGACTGTTTACGGTTCCTGGAGGAGGACTGCTGTGCAGCCGAGTCTCCAACTGAACTGTTGGACGTCAAGTCTCCATTAAAGACAACTGCAGCGATGCGAGAGAGTAAATCAAAATATGCCAGCGTAGCGTGACACAAACAAATGCAACAGCAGGGCACCATTCTTTTCTGTCGTAGCAAAATACTCTCTTAAAGCATTCACTCCCAATACAGCTACAGAAAACCAAAGGAAAGTAAACACAGCGTTATGTAAGCCTACTCATTTTCTCAGCAACAACAGGATAAAAAAACAAAGGAAAACATCTTGAAAACTCGTGAAAAATGTCTGCTCACACCAAAGCAAATAGTAATAGCAAAGTGTTAGCTGCTTGTTTCAGAAACGGGATAGACCTGGAAATAATTTCATCTTTAAAACCTGCTTAAACTCAAAATAAAAACATTAAAATGTTAAAACATCCAACAAGCTAGAATCAGGAGGAAAAAGGGTTATATTTTTACTGCAGAAGTCAAATTTGCTAAGGCTTAACATTAGAATAATAATAAAAATGTTATAAAAAACAAACAAACAAACAAAAAAACGGAAGTCTTAACTTCATAAGTAAACCAAAGACATATACAACTGTGAATACAGAATCCAGGACAATGGCGATGTATTTTATTCTGAAAGGCACAGTGCTGTGTCAGCGCATTCACAGTCTCTCAAATAAACTCCCCTCGGAAAGGAAGTGACTTTAGGCTTTGCTGTTGCCAGCGGTAACGCAGTCTGGACAGCTGCGTGTCCCTGGGGTTTTCAAACTCAGAAAAGGCCAGCTGGTTGAGGATGTCATAAACTCCAGCCCTGGCAGCCACCTACCAGAAAAATACACACACACACAAAATGTAATAAACAGACCAAAAATAATTCTTCCACCAGGACCACGAAATGCTCAGATGCCATTTACTCCCTTGTTCAAATGTGTGATCCCACTGTTGATTCAGAACAATACACGTCCACTAGATGTTTGCGTCCAACAGTAAGTAAACCTGAGTATCCACTAGGGTGAAAATACCAGCACTGCAGTTCCAAACACTACATGACAATAAAAGCAGCTTCCTTCACAACCTTGACTTTGGAAGCTTGATTTAAGTGATTTGGTGTGTATTTTGAGCTGAACTATCTAAAAATAGAGCGCCACAAGAGAGGTGCATTGTGGGATGTGGAGTCATTGTCTTAGACCTTAAAAGAAAAGTAAAAAGATTTGAGATTTGCTGCAGTGATTCAGACTTTTACTGCTTTTTGACGTCACATCATCA